TCTCTCTGCCCCTCTCCCGTTCATGCTCTCTCTCTGTCTCAAAAGTAAAAATAAACATTAAAAAAAAAAGAATTAATATTATCAGCATGTCCACACCCCCCAATGAGATCTACAGATTCTTTTTCTTTTCTTAATAAGCCCTATGCCCAACGTGAAGCTTGAACCCACGAGCCTGAGATCAACAGTCGCATTCTCTGACAACTGAGCCAGCCAGGTGCCCTGCAATCTACAAAATCAGTGGAATCCCTATCAAAACTTCAATGGCTTTCCTCACAGAAATAGAAAAAAAAAAATCATCCTAAAATTCATATGGAGCCACAAAAGACCCAGATACCCAAAGCAACATTGAGAAAGGAGAACAAGGTGGGAGGCATCATGCTTCCTGATTTCAAGCTTATTATAAAGCTGTAGGAACCAAATCCATATGGTGTTGGCATAAAAAGACACACAGACCAATGCGACGGAATTGAGGACACGGAAATTAACCCACACATATATGGCCAGTTAGTTTTCAACATGTGAATCTCTGCAGATCCCTTGGGAGAACATCTAATAAAGCAGATTGATGAAGATTACAGAGGGCTGATCTGTAATCTCTTTCCTGCCCGACTGTAATGGATTAAGTAATGGAACTTCCCCACTGAGAACCCATACTTTTGTGGAGAAAGGTCTAGAGGTGTTGCGAAGAATGACAGACCTTGGGAAGATCTACATTTTGGGTCTCTTTGCATCTGAAACCTGTCATAAGCAGCTCGTGAAGCCCTGGGAGGTTCAAAGGTTTGGTATTTATGACAGTGACCACATCGACCATTTTTCTAATACAGCTGACAATTGTCCTTCATGTATTTGTTACTCATTTGTATTTCCTCTTTAAAAAAAAAAAAAAAAAGTTTATTTATTTTTGAGAGAGACCAAGAGTTGGGGAGAGACAGAGAGGGAGGGAGACATAGAATCCCAAGCAGGTTCCAGGCTCTGAGCTGTCAGTCCAGAGCCTGACTCAGGGCTCAAACTCACGAACCGTGAGATCATGACCTGAGCTGAAGCCAGACGCTTAACCGGCTGAGCCACCCAGGCGCCCCTGTATTTCCTCTTCACATACGGTATACCAGTGAAGTTTTCTTCTTCATGAGGGTCCAAAACATTTGTTAAAGTTAATGAGCAATTTTTGTTCATGTTGTGAAACAATTATTCCATAATTACTTCCTTAAAGTTTTGCTTAAAAGACGAAAGCCACACATAAACACAATTTGAAGTGTGCAGAAAGGCACAATGCTATGATAAAACTCGTATCTCCTCGACCCCTGTTCCTAGACAATTCCTGAGTCCTTATTTCTTGTGACTTTGACACTCTTGAGGAACTGGTTAGGAATCTTGTAAAATGATTCTTCATCGGATGTCTGATGTTTATTCCTCAATAACATTGAGGTTATGTGGTTTTGGTAAGCATGGCACAGAGGCTCCGTTATGTCCCTCTCACCCTATGAGCAGCTACATATCAATATGTCCTATTCCTGGCGACATTGACTGCGATCACTTACCTACAATGGTGCATGCCAGGTTGCCCCACAGTAAAGCGACTATTTTCCCCTTTGTGATTAGTGAGTATCTTGGACGTGGTAACTGAGATCATGCAAAAATCCCTGGTAACTTGAGCATTTACTGTTGAATCTTGCCTCCAATTATCATTGTGGTGCCCTCATGTTGATTTTCTATTTCTCTCCCTCTGTCTGCATTTATTAATTGGAATTCTTCTGTAAGAAGAATTTTGTCCCTCTGTCCCTTTTATTTATTAATCATTTTTCCCTCTCAATATAGGAGGAACTATTCATTTTTACCTAAAAATCAGTAAACTTCCGGGGCGCCTGGGTGGCTCAGTTGGTTAAGCGTCTGACTTCAGCTCAGGTCATGATGTCCCGGTTCGTGAGTCGGAGCCC